GGCGGCGGCAGCAGGGAGCCTTCTGCCCACCCCAGCCCCAGGATCGGCACCGGGCCCATCTTTGCATCGCGTTTTGCTTTCCTAATCAAGGTCATTCGGTACAGCAGCAATACCTGAGCAAACTAGCTAAGCAGCTGGGGTGGAAGTTGGCCTGACCACTGAAGGTCAAGTGTGCACTTATGCATATTCAAAGCTGCCTGCAGGATCGATCGGGTTTTAATTGTTTTTCCTGGGGTTTTGGAAGGAAGTGCCAGGGGCATTGATCAGTCCCAGACTCACACTTCAGGGCTGGCAGGGACCGTCACTTTGCTGCAGGCAGAGGGAAATGCGGGCAGAGAGGCAGGGATGAAGGCTGGCAGGGGGAGAGCCCAGCCAGCCCCGACCGGGAGGAGGAGCCATCGCCGGGCTGCGATGGAAACCAAAGTTTTTTAATTAAAATTGGCAATTCTGAGCCGCCTGTCGGCAGCAGCCACGCAATCAAGAGCGAGGAGCTTTGCTGTTTAATATTTAAAGACAACGTTTAATCTTTAAACAGGAAAGTTCTTCTTCTGACTGTTAAAGTGAGGCAGCAAGTGCCGGCGGGTCCCCGAGGCACCACCAGCTCATCCCAGCTGCCGGGAAATCGGTGCCATCCACAGCCGCTCTCCCGCCGGCTCCTCCGCCGCTCCAGCCCCGCACAGCTGCAGGCCCCTGCCCCTTCAGCGCTCACCCCTCCAGCAAACTGCGGGAAAGGCCGAGATGCCCCTGGTTTGCTTGCAAGCCAAAGGATTTTAAAAAATGCCATAAACCCCTTTTAGCCAGGAAATGACACTTGTTTGTCCCTCTCCCTCTGGTTCAGTCCTGGTGTTGCAGGGACTGGGTTGCTCCCTTCTGGGTCAGACGGTGAAGCAGGGCCAGGACCCCGTGGCATTTTATTTTCATCTGCATTTTAATTGATAAAAAATGCAGGTATCTTTTAAAAAAAGCTATTTTTATATGGTTTTGGTCAAAATTCTGATTTAGAGATAAACTCAGTGCCTCTGATCTGCTAAAAAACACCCAAACGATGTTTGCAGAATAATTTTCAAGCAGCCTGAACGCAATTATTTCCATCCATACCAGCTTGTAGAAAGGTCTCCCTTTCCTCCTGATCTTGTTTTTAATTCTATGAAGGCTACATTTACCTCCCTGCCAATGCTGCTCTGAAGTCAGATGATTATTAATTATATTTATTTACTTATACAATCCCATAGGCATACGCAGCAGTTCACAGACAAATACCACCCCGGGTCCCCAATGTAGAGATCTCAAACCAAAGGTAAGCAGATACTCCTGTGATAAATGGGAGCTAACAGCAGCAGATCAGGAATATACTGTGTTTCCGTGCATAGAACCAGCACCACAGATAATCCACAAATCCACACCCTGTTAAAAGCGTCAGTGTGGGGACGTAAGTCCTCAGGTAACCCATACCTCACATAAACCTGCAGAAAAGCCAAAAAACAAAGGTGGGGATAAGACGTGGGAGTACAGCAGCCTGGGGCGGGGAGATGCTGCGTGTGTAGAATCACAGCATCTGGGGCTGGCTTTATAACGGAGCAAAGAAGGTCTGAAATCATCCTCCTGTTGCACCGGGTCACAAGACTTCCCGGTGGCCATGCTGCATCTGCCTCAATTTGCAAAGAGCCCAAAAGGAGAGCTCCGTGGATATTCTGCTAGTGCTGGGGGTCAAAGATGGTCCTCTCAGCTGAGACAGGAGTGCACGGAGGGCACAGCAGCGATGCTGGGCACTACTTGCAGGGGGAATAACAAAGGATTTGTCCAGTTCTTGTAAAAATGGTGTCCAGTCTGGCAACAGAGTCCACCCCACCTGCCCTTGTTGCAATCCCAGTGCAAACCAGCCCCTGTCCCCAGCAACACGGGGGCTGGCAAGGTGGCAGCGCAGATCTGTGACAGAGCCGGGTCCTGATACCCCACTACCTGGAGCTTGTTTGGGTTTCACACTGTGGTTTATAAGCAGCACAGCTGCAGAGAAGATGTTCCAGGGGGACAGAAAATTCCCAGAACTGGAACTTGTCAAGCTGATGTATTGATCTAAGTGGACTGAATAATGCTCCATCATTTATTTATGGGGAAGTGCCCAGCACACTTCACAAAAACTGGTGTTCGGCAGTCACATTAAGGCAAGATTTAATGTCCTGCATCACACAAACAGGGCACCTGCGCAGAGGTCCGGATGCTCGCTTCCACGGGGAGCCCAGCAAAGCCTTCCCCCACGCATGGGGAGGGACTGGGCTGGTCCTCACGGAGCTGCCGGGGCTCTGCTAGGGCAACGTGCCCAACGCTGACAGAGCCAGCCCCGTCCTTTCTGCACGTGCCGATGCTGTGACCTGCTGGGCCAGCACCCAGCCCTTCTGCCCTCCACTAAAGCTGCTGGAGTTGCACCAGCCTGGGTACTTCAGCTGAAGGGCAGGAGGGGAGCAGGGGTCTGTGCTTTGCAATGGCACAAGCACGTTCACAAACCATGGCACCAAGAACTGCCAGGACAGGCACAGAGCCCCCTCCTGCCCTGCCCAGCCTGGCAACCCTGTCGTTTTTCATGTCCCATCAAGAGGTTTTAAATGTTTCACCTGCTAATTGTAATTTTAATATTAATAAGGACACTTCCAGGCAGGGAGAAAATATTTCCTTTCGGAAAAAAGTCCTCCCAGGAGCAAAGAGGCTCAGCGGTTTGAGAAGATGCTGATGTGTGGGTACTAAGGAATAAAAAAAAAAAAAAGCGGTGGTTTTTGCTGAAAGTTTCCGTTAAGACTTTCCAAAAGACTCCTGAGAAAAAGCCAGAAAGCGGCCGTGAGATCTCCCCAGCTGCCCTGGGCTTGGGCACGCGGTGGGTGCAGGCTGTGCTCCCCCAGGATCAGGCTGGGCACAGCAGTCAGCCGATCGGAGCCGACCCCCCTGACATCTTCGAAATGGAGAAAATGGCTTTGCGACAGCAAAAGCATCTTCCTCCTCTTGTCATGTCAGCTGCGCAAAATAAGCATTTCCCTCTAACTCCCCTCATTCCGCTGCTGCCACGATGAGGTGTCAAGGTTTTATATTACTTTGTATGGTGCGAAGAAAAAAGGAGGTCATGTCTACAACTAAGTGGGCTTTTAAACACAGCTTAAAATGTTTTCAGTGCCACCCAGTAACTGCAAGGTTTTGAGGCTGGGGGTGTCTTTGAGGCCAACACCCCATGGCACCCAGAACACCGGGGACTCCAGGGTGGTCCCTCAACATCCCGTTTTAATTGCATGCCACCTGAAGCCCACTTCAAGGATGGGATGTGGACATTTCTTGCTGGCATTTCTTGCCATGCAGACTTCCTGGCATGACACAAGGCAAATC